TTGTTTACTTTTGTTTTTATTTCCATTCCTCTAGAAGGTGGGTCATAGAGGATCTTGCTTTGATTTATGTCATTGAGTGTTCTATGTTTTTCTCTAAGAGTTTTATAGTTTCTGGTCTTACATTTAGGTCTTTAATCCATTTTGTGTTTATCTTTGTGTATGGTGTTAGGAAGTGTTCTAATTTCATTCTTTTGCATGTTTCTGTCCCTTTTTCCCAGCACCATTTCTTGAAGAGGCTGTCTTTGCCCCATTGTATATTCTTGCCTCCTTTGTCAAAAGTAAGGTGCCCATAGGTGCATGGGTTTATTTCTGGGCTTTCTATCTTGTTCTATTGGTCTATATTTCTGTTTTTGTGCCAGTACCATACTGTCTTGATGACTGTAGCTTTGTAGTGTAATCTGAAGTCAGGAAGGTTGATTCCTCCAGCCCCGTTCTTCTTTCTCAAGACCGCTTTGGCTATTTGGGGTCTTTTGTGTTTCCATATGAATTGTGAAGTTTTTCGTTCTAGGTCTCTGAAAAATGCCATTGGTAATTTGCTAGGGATCACATTGAATCTGTAGATTGCATTTGGTAGTATAGTCATTTTCACAGTATTGATTCTTCCTACCTAGGAACATGGAATATCTCTCCATCTGTTTATGTCGTCTTTGATTTCTTTCATCAGTGTCTTATAATTTTTTGTGTACAGTTCTTTTTGTCTCCTTAGGTAAGTTTATTCCTAGATATTTAATTCTTTTTGTTGCAAAGGTGAATGGGATTGATTCCTTAATTTCTCTTTCTGGTTTTTCACTGTTTGTATATAGAAATGCAAGTGATTTCTGTGTATTGATTTTATATCCTGCAACTTTGCTAAATTCACTGATTAGTAATTTTCTGATCATCCTTATTGATTGTCCTTGCTGGTTCCTTTTGGCTCCTTACATAGGAGTGTCCCATAAGGTCTCTGTTCTTAGCTCTCTTCTTGTTCTGACTCCTCCTCACCCTGTAGTTGCATCTTTCCCACACTTTTAACTACTGTTTTTGCACTGATCTCCCAAGTCTGTCTTTGGCCCAGCTTTTTCTCTTGAGCCTCAGACTCTGTTATTTCCATCTCTCCTGGACACGTCCCACTAGATACTCAGTGCCACACATGTAGAAGTATACACACTGTTAACCCTCTCCACCACTTCCCACCTTGGTCAGTGACCCACCTGGTCATTCATTTAGGGTGTGCTCGTGGGAGTGGCTCTCAGCTGCTTCCTCTCCTATAACACTGTCGTGTCTGCGGGTCCCAGCTTCTCTCTCACAAGCTCTTTTGAGTATTAATACATAACCTTGTCTCTGTTCTCCTTGTTCCTGCCATAGTTTAGATGTTCGTTCCTTTCTCCTTTATAGTGTGGTCCTCTGAAGCCAGACTGCATGGGTTCTCATTTTGGATATATCACTTATTACTTAAGTAACTTTGGTCAAATTTTATAATTTCTCTGTGCCTCAGTTTCCTCGTTGGTAAGATAGAGATAAAATGGTTTAAGAGCTATAAAGTGCTTAGAATAGTGCCTGACACATCATGTTTGTTATTGTTTCTATTATTAATACCACCTAGCTGACCTCAGTACTGCTGGTCCCTTCCCTTCTGAAGCATTTTCCAGTCTTCCACAGTGTGAGATTCATGAATGGACATCTGACAACATCATTCCCTTTAAAAAAATTTCCATAGCTTCCCATTCTCTGACCACTTGCTTACATCCAGTTCATCTCCACTGTCCTTTTTCTCTCACTTGTTGCAGTTATATTAAGTAATTGGTAGTTTTCAAGGTAAGCTGTGGTCTTGCATGCCTTCGCATCTTTACACGCTATTTCTCCTGCTTGATGTGTCCTTCCTTCCCTGGTTTCATTTGCAAATCTTTAATGATCCTTCAAGACCATACTTATTTTATTTTTTAACATCCAGTTCTCAGATTTTAATCAGTCAAATGCATGAGTTAACCAATCATAGCAAGTAGTTACAAAATGTGTAGCTCAGTGGTGCTCTGCCAGATACAAGACAGATACGCTGTTGAGGAGCAGACAGTCCAGTGGGGGAACAAGACAGACAAACGTGAAACATTAAGGGACTATCCTTGGGAAGGTTAAGTAGAGCCTACTTAGTGGGGTAGGATTTCAAAGAGCAAACTGTTTTCTCATGGATACTGAGGGGTGGTTGTGTTAGGTACTTAGAAAGACTTCGTGGAAAAGTGGGATTTTAATTGGGCTTGGAAGGATAATAAAATCTGTATAGATGGAGGGAAGGGGAAGTGGGCGTGTGGGGCCCAGGTAACAGAAGGCACAGAGGCGGCAGTTGGCAAGCTGCTCAGTGGAGGAAGCCTGGTAGGAAAGTGTGCATGTTGAGGAGCATGAGGATGTGCGGCCACCCCAGCAAATGCTGTGGCAGGCGGCAGGCAGTCGCGGGGTCTTCAGAGCAGGAAGTATCCTTGGGTTCTGGTATGTCCTATGCCAAACTGTACTGAGGCAAAAGGAAAACTCAATAATACTGATCTTGCCTTCATTCAGAAATGTGGTATTTTGTTCATCATGAGTTTTTTTTTTGCATTAATTTTGAGTTTTAAAGATATTGTATTAAAACCTTATTTATCTCTTTTGTAAAAAAAAAAAATTAGTTCTTGTGATTACTGCATTTTTTGGCACATCCTTAAATTTTGTGCCTCAGGCAAGTGTCTCACTTACCTCACCCTCGTCCCAGCCCTGTGTTGTGTTTCTGGAGTTCAGCAGTGAGGGTATGGATATTTATTTTATTAATTATAGCTTGTTGTTGTTGTTCAGTTGCTCAGTCATATCTGACTCTTTGCGACCCCATGGACTGCAGCACGCCAGGCTCCCCTGTCCTTCACCATCTCCCAGAGCTTGCTCAAACCCATGTCTGTTGAGTCAGTAATGCCATTCAACTTTCTCATCCTCTGACATCCCCTTCTCCTCCTGCCTTCAATCTTTCCCAGCACCAGGGTCTTTTCTAATGAGTCAGTTCTTTGTATCAGGTGGCTTACTCATGTTTAAATATTTTTGGTTAGTAGACAGAATTTAATAAAAACGATTAAAATAAAGAAGCTAGAATTATAAAAATATTAATTTGGAACTTTGGAGCCTGAAAAACATGAAAGGGAAAAGAATCCTTTGTGTTTCTGAGTTAATCTCTACGGGAGGATAACCCCCTCTTGTTTCACCATATGAGTGCAAGCAGAAAATGGTTGTTTTGCCCACATTCTATAACTGAGGGATAGGGGTACCAGAGGCTGCTGAACTTGTGGATATATATAGGCATTGAGCAACTCAGCTGCTGCAACCAGAGATTCTGCCCCATGGCCTCAGGAAAACTTCCACAAATGGACCATGCAAGGTGAGCTTGACCCATATCTCACATAAAACAGACCCATCCAGCCTGCTCAAAGAGCAGCCACTCAGTGGGCCGCAGTGTTTTACCACAGGCCATTGGCATCCCAGGTGGCACAGTGGTAAAGAATCCACCTGCCAATACAGGAGACATAAGAGACTCAGGTTCAATCTTTGGGCCTGGAAGATCCCCTAGAGTAGGAAATGGCAACCCACTCCAGTATTCTTGTGTGGGAAATCCCGCAGACAGAGAGGAACCTGGTGGCCTACAGTCGGTGGGGTTGCAAAGAATTGGACACGAGTGAGCACACACACGTGGCCCAAGAAGCAGTGGAAGATTCACAAACCCTCCAAATGTCTCAGGGCTACTTGCATCTGGGAAAAGAGGTGGTGTGTGATACAAAGAGTATTACTAGTATGTACACCTAAAATGTAAAAGCTAAAAAGTGTGAAATCTGTTGTTTATTAGTACACTGGTGATAAAGGAAAGATTTTGAGTCAGGAAAGTTAAGAGTGCAGTACAAATCTCAAAAAACCAAAAAACACCAAGGGAGAAGTTGAAAGGAACACGGTGCTCTCTGTGCTCATGGCCAGGTGTGCTGTACTGTGATACAGACCTCCCCGTCAACTCCTGTGTTCAGAGAGAACTCCACCAGGCTCAGGGTGGACGTTCGGGCACAATATCTAAAAGCCACAGGCTGAACTTCACCATCAGATAAGTGGGTGGTCACATAAGATGGCTGTTTTCTGAATACTCCAACCAAGATCTGCTCCACCACTCCCTTGCTGAAATAATGACCCCTTCTCAGTGGCACAACTGGCAAAATTCTTCAGAATTGAAGGGGAGATAAAGAGTTTTTCAGACAAAAAGTGAAGGAGTTCATCATCATTAGACCAGCCTTATAAGAAGTGTTAAAGGGTGTTCTTTAAGCTGTTGATCAGAACACCTGAAAAAAGAGAAAAATTCTTGCGCAAGAATCGTTTCTGTTGGAGGTATTGGAATGAACAGCCATCATCAAGACAGAACTTATCCACTACAGAGCCCTAGTGCTTCGAGCCAGCTGGAGTCCCTTTGGAGCATCAGTTATGGTGCCTATGGATTTTCTTGTAGTTGTCTTCATTGGTACCGCACTTCTGCTTCTTTGATTTAGTGGCGAGAGCTGCCAGGATTTTCACAGTGCATGCTCCTTCCCAGTAAGCAAATGTCTTATTTGAGTTGTGGCAGACCTCATTTGATCCTGGCAGAAACACATCAGTCATGGTAGCTTTTGGTTCTGTGACTGGATTGACCACTAAAGCACTTTCTTTCAGGCAGCTCTCTGTTGAACCTGGCTGCTTGCACCAGATTTCCAAGATGATAAACTTCCATGTTCCTTCAAGACCATGCTTAAGCCTCCTGTGAAAACCTGGCCCCTCCAAATACAGTTGGTCACTCCCTTAACACTCACCATGATGTTCTGCAGTTGTTTCCAGGTCTGTTACCCACATAAAGCTGTGCGTTTCATGATGGTGGGGACTGCAGCCTCTTCTTTGCGGGCCTTGTGCAGTAATCGGCTCAGAGCAGATGCTCTGTAAATGTTGAATTTGTTAGGGTTCAGGAGTTTACTAAGGTTTCTGTGCTTCTTCAATTTCCCCAGGCTGCAGGAATTGGTTGATCGAGTACTGGAACGTTTTCAGGCATCTGGACTAATAGTGAAAGAGTGGAATAGTGTGAAACTCCATGCTACAGTCATGAATACTCTGTTCAGGAAAGACCCCAATGGTAAGTGCTCCATAGAACCACAGTACAGTTTGTGACCAGCAAGGTCTAATGATAACCCTGGGGTTTGAAGAGAATGGGCTATCAAAGGATCTCTAACATATCTTCTTTTTTATATCCATTATCTTGTTATGATGAGTACAATGGAAGTGGGCAAGGACATATTGTGCATGGGGCTATATAGCTTCTCAAATCTTACACTCTTCTTGCACATAGGGTTGCTAGATGTAGCAAGTAAAAATGCAGGATTCCTAAGTAAATTTTAGGTGGACAGTGAATAATTGTTTTAGTGTAAGTATGTCCTAAGAAATGCATGGCAGCTTTTTTTTTTTTTTTTTTCCAGAAACAAGAGAAGATTAACTAATAAAAGTAAGTGTTAGAGCCGTGATTCTCAACTAGGGGCAGTTTTGTCCTCCCAGAGGACATTTGGATTCTCTGGAGACGCTTTGGTTGTCATAGTTAGGGAGATGGGAGCGGGCTACTACTGGCATCTGATGGATAGAGGTCAGGCGTGCTGCTTACCCCACTGCAATGCATGGGACAAGCCCCTCATAATGAAGAATTTTTCAGCCCTGAATGGCAGTAGCACCAAGGTTGAGAAACTTTGTGTTAATGTTTTGTTTTTTTTTTTCCCCTCCTGAATCTAAAAAGCCTTCATATAAAAATGCCTTGTTTTAACCCTTTATTTGGGATAATAATCTGCATTTTAAAAAGGATTATTTTTCTTCTCATCCCCACCTGCCAAGTGAAAGCTGTCTAGCACATTGAGCATCTATTTGAACAGGACCTACAAATTGCAGTTATGTGCAGCTTCTTCTTTAAAGCCTGTTGTTCAAAATATACCACCACCAAAACCCCATATTTAGGTTTTATTACCTTTGTTAGGACTGACTTTGGTTTTAGAAAGTCTCATTGGAAGAGGACTTCATTAGGACTCCCCATTTAGAACCCCATTTAGAACTAAATTTATAGTTTAGGACAGTTTTTGTATCCCTTTTTGCCAAAGTACATCTTTTAATTTCTCTCAGAAACATACCAGAGATCTCAACTGTAAGCTGGTTTGATTAGAGCCATTGTAGGACTAAGAGATACGTAGCTATACCATTCTTAGTTGTAGTGTTACTTTTTTTTTGATGCTAGATTGTATTTTAAGGCTTTGTAAAATAAATTGTTGTCTTTAAATCTTTTCAGAGCTCTTACAACTATTTCATGCCCCATTATCACCTAACCTCTTAACATAAAAGAGTTGAATTATATAGGAATCTGTTTCTTTTAAATTGTGTGGATCCAGATGTACATTCAGTTGGCACCAGAGCTTCATATAGGAAAATATTCTGTGTTGACAGTCTTAGTTATCCTTTCCTACTGACAGATATTTTAAATGTAACAGCTTTATTGAGATATAATTCATAGAGTATATAATTCATCCATGTAAAGTATATAATTCAGTAATTTTTAGTATAGTGAGTTATGCAGCCTTTACCACAGTACACTTTAGAACATTTTCATCACCCCAGAAAGAAACTCTCTAGTTACTGGCAGTGACTCCCCATTTTCCCCTTACTGTCCAGTCCTCAGCACCACCAGTCTCCTTTCTGTTCAGTGAATTTGCCTTTTCTGTATATTTCACATAAATATTGATAGAATCATGCAATATGTGATCTTCTGTGACTGGCTTCTTTCACATAGCATAATGTTTATAAGGTTCATCCAGGATACAGTGTCATTCCTTTTTATTACCAAATAATAGCCCATTGTATGGACATACCACATTTTATTTATCCATTCAGCAGTTGATGGACATTTGTGTTGTTTCCACTTTTGAGCTATTATGAATAATGCTGCTGTAAAGATTTATGTGTGTATTTTTATGTTTTCATTTCTATTAAGTAAATACTTAAGAGTGAAATTGCAGAGTCATGATTAATGCAAAGTTGTAACTTTTTGAGTAACTGCCAGACTATGTTCCACAATGGCTGCACCATTTTACATTTCCACAAGCAGTACAGTAGCCCCCCCTTATCTGCAGGAGATGCATTCCAAGGTCCCCAGTGGATACCTGAAACTGTATACCAGACATCCTATATTTTTCCTATGCATGAATACCTATGATAAAGTTTAATTCATAAATTAGGTGCAGTAAGAGATTAACTAATGGTAAAATAGAAGAATTAAACAATATGCTATAATAAAAATTATGTGAATGTTATCTATCTCTCTCAGAATTTCTTATTGTACAAATTTAATGCCTTTTTCATTTTCACTAAGCACTTACATGCACCGTGATCGTAACTTTTGCAGTTTGAGGTGTGACAGCAAAACTAGTTATGATTTCTTTCTCCTTCATCCCAACTTCATTGATAGATTTGTTCTTACTGTAGATCTTAGCAAACTTTAGCTAAGATTTTTTTCTTTCCTTATTAAGTCACGAACTTTCACCTTTTCACTTAAAGAAAGCACTTTATGGCATCTCTTTGGCATATCCAAATTGCTAGCATCACTATTCTTGCTTTTTGAGGCCATGAGTAAATAAAATAAGGGTGACTTGAACACAAGCAGTGCAATACCTTGGCAGTCATTATGAAAACTGAGAGAAAGGGATATGTTGGACAAAGGGATGATACTTCCTGGGTGGGATGGATCACACTGCTCAGAATGGTTCATGATTAAAAACTTAGAAATTGTTTATTTCTGGAATTTTCCATTTAATGTTTTCTGACCTTAGTTGACCATGGATAACTGAAAAGGTGGAAAGAAGAACCACGAATAAGGAGGGATGGCAGTGCATGAGGGCTTCAATTTCTCTACATCTTTACCTGCACTTATTATCTGTCTTTTTTGTTATTGCCATCATCTTGAGTGTGAAGTGGTATCTCATTGTGGTTTTGATCTACGTTCCCCTCATGGCTAATGCTATTTACTTATAAATTTTGAAGCTGTTAGTAAACATTTCAATCTCCAGATTTCATTACTGCTTTTTTAAATTGACATTTACCTAGTATGAATTTTGCTTTATAATTTAGTTTCACATTTTCTTTTAACGGGGGGACTGTTTTTAAGTTGTGAAATATACGTGGGATTGGGCTCTTTATAAGAGAATTAGTTCACATTAGAGAAGTAGTCCTAGAGCTACCCAGGTGTAATTCCAATGGACTTTCTAAAATATATTATCTTCCTGGGGTTAGCTCTTTGAATATATTTTGTCAGTTCTGATGTGGCAATCTCCATAGTTATATACCATAAAAGAATATACTCAAAAGTAGAAATACAGATACTTTTAAGTGTTGGTTGGTTGGCAGGAAAGAGTTGGTATTTCAGAAAATATTCTGAGAGTTAATTCTTGAAGATGTTTTGAATTTTACATACCCTGGATACTTCTCTATCTTGTATTTTCTTTTGAAAAGGCTGTTGAATACATTGTCTTGCTTTTTCATAATAGTTATCCTTTCCTTTGATATCCATTTTTTTCCTGCTGCATTTGAAGGACATCTTTTAGGATAAGCAAGCTAAATTAATACAAGGAGTTAGAACACAGCTTTGATGAGGCTAAGGTCATAGATTTGCAGATTTCTGTGTAGAATGTAAGGATACCTTTGATTGCAACTGGAGAGGTTTTTCTCATTTCAGGGGAGTCCTTAAATCAACCCAAAGCATGATTATCAGCATTTTTAACTAGTTAATGAGTGAACTTTCATGTATTTTTATGTATTTGAAAATGTGTACAGCTTATAAGGAATTTTGGGTTTTAGACTGCAGGGAATCTTTGGAAATCACCCAGTCTTCTAACTTTGTAAATGAGGAACTAAAGAGACATAATTTGCCTAAGAATATGGTTTGTTATGTAGTTTATGTACAGTGAGTACTTGGACAATGTTAAATGAATAAATATACACCGAATGAGTTATGACAGAGCTGAGACTAGTCTCTTGACTATAAGCTGATGTTTTTCCCTCCATGTTATGTTACTTTCCAGGCTTCCCTCATAGCTCAGTTGGTAAAGAATCTGCCTGCAATGCAGGAGACCCTGGTTCGATTCCTGGGTTGGGAAGATCCCCTGGAGAAGGGATAGGCTACCCACTCCAGTATTTTTGGGCTTCCCTTGTGACTCAGCTGGTAAAGAATCTGCCTGCAATGCAGGAGACCAGAGTTCGATCCTTGGCTTGGGAAGATCCCCTGGAGAAGGGAAAGGCTACCCACTCCAGTATTTTGGTCTGGAGAATTCCATAGACTGTATAGACCATGGACTCAAAAAGACTCGGACACTGAGCGACTTTCACTTTTTCACTGTTACTTTCTAGGTAGTACATGAAGATCTTCCTAGTTATCCCTATAGAAATCCAAGAGAAAACAGACAGCTCAATAACCCAAGCTTCTGTTCTAACACTGTCTTTGGAATATTTACAGCTGAAGGCAGGTACAACCTCTACACAGCGGATGGCAAATATATCTTCAAAGAAAGAGAATCATTTGATGGCCGAAACATTTTAAAGGTCAGTACAAATCTGAGTGAATTGAAAATCCTTTGGCATATGTCCTAAAATAAGGGAGGGCAATAAGTTTTCCTTTTAACATAAAGTATATTTTTCTTATACTTCCCATGAGGATTATTGACTGAAAGGACTGTTAAATTTTTTTTCGTAGTCCTAAATGAAAAATCTTTTTGACTTGTTAAGGCTGTTGGTATCTCTTAGAGTACTTAAAGTTGATGATTTAAGAAACAACTATACTATTTGGATCCATAGGAATAAGTTGATTTTAACCTTGTGAGTCTTTGTATTTTACCCTTGAAGGACTGAGTGTGCATTTTTTTTTAAGTGAAAAGTTGTCTTGTTCTAGTAGATTTTTCTCGTCACCCACAGAGTCACTCTCCAAAGTTCCTGTGTAAATCTATTTTTACTCAGGAACAGCCCATGTGCTAAAAAGTAGGTGGTCCATTTCTGACTGTTGAGGATTTGCTTCTGAGTGTTAAATTAACCTATGAAATTTAAATGAAAAGTGTTCTTCAGGATTGCATTATCTTTCTCCCACAGACCACATTCTGTAACATCCACAGTTTATGCCCTCTCTGTCAAGTTAACATGCCATTGTGCCTCTGGGAAAAGGGAAACATAAGCTGATACCAAAGGAAAGGTTTTTGATTTCTTCATTTTACTTGTTCTATAATAGTTTGGGTCATGTATTTTCAAGGCCATGGGTGTTTTTTTGAGTTGGGAGGGAGAGGATGTAAATAGTAAAACTTCAGAGCAAGCTCTAGCTTTAGCAATGTTTTTCTTTTTCCTCCATTCCTTTATCTTGTCACTTGACAGATTTCTTGCCAAATGCCTAATGTGACCCCATTGCTTCTAATTAATGACATCACTCTTCAGCAGCTGCAAGCTTCTCATTGCAGAGCCTAGCAGAGCAATGGCAGCATTCTCTTTAGGCAGGCATTTCAGCTCTCACATTACAGAGCTTTGTTGATTCTTTCTTTTCCTTGATACCTTTCCTCTTTGAATAGTTTTATTTTCAAAGTAGCTCTGGTAGCTTCAGTTTGAGTGGCAAGTTGCTAATGAATTCAGTTGCAGTTAACTTTTTTCCCAGGCCACAGCTTTATTGTGATATGAATCTCTTTCCTCCTCTAGCTCATTTCCTGAGGCTTTTAAAATAATAGCTTTAATTATTTTGCTTTTTTTTTGTTACTGTTAATTTGATAAAGAAAGAAGCTAGATGAATGGGGAAAGAAATCTGTTGGAATGACTCAAGCCAACTTGGTTCCTTTGGAATTAGAATTAAGCCCAAAAGGTATATTGATGCAAGTTGAGGGTGAGGTGCTTTAACATCTGTAAGAAGGAGGTAAGCACAGGTAGCCTGAGAAGTGGCTGTATGAACAGGATCTATTGTTGGGTATTTAACTTCTCTCATTCTGGGAAGTCAGTTTTCCATTTAAAGATGCTTGACTTGTAAATTTTTCTAACCCACCCCAATGATAACATGGACATAGCTCCCTCTAGTGTTGACAAAGCTTGCTGTAATAGTTGTACCCTTAGTGTTTAATGCCTAATTGGAGTTTTAGAACTGGGCCCAGCTAGGTTCTTGCAAACTATTTAGTCCATTTCCTCATTTTACTCTCTAAGGGTGCAAGATCCAATATGGTTAAAGTGACTTGCAGGTTACTGCTAGATAGTAGCAGAGTTTGAATCAGAAAAAAAAGATTTAAAACTCACAAATTAGCTTTTCTATCTTCTTCATAAAGATGCTCAGTGTTTAGGCAGAGATCAGTAGATACTTGAAATTGGGCCTCTCTGTTTGAAATATGATAATACCTGACTGGACATAAATGTTGGGGCAGTGGGTGTGCCAGTTAGTCTAAAACTGGCTAATTAACAATTAGACTTCTGAGGTGTATGTAATACTAGCACCAACAGAAATATTGACTGTGTGCTATCTGTCAGACCATGTGCTCTGCAGATAAAACAGCCATTATGATACATTCCCACCTTCCAGGAGCTTCCTATCTCTGAGAGATACAGCAGATTAATAGGTAATTACAGTATAAAATGATGGGAGCAGATTATGAGATGAGGAAGAGAAGTACCTTTGAACACAGGTAGTTGTAACAAAATATCTTTTGATAGAATTTCCAATGTATTACTTTTTAATCATTAGTTCCAGAAAATATAATATTTCACTTATATTTAATCAAAGGAATTAACTTTTCTTTGAGAATAAAGATAAAATGTAACATCTAACACTGATTCCTCAGACATATAAGAGTAATAGCTATATTTATAAAGTAGCTATAGCAGCACACTTTTTTGGAATTACAAATCTTTCTCAATTAGAATATGAAAACACATGGCCCCTGAATCCCTTGCAAAAAAAAAAAACAAGCAAGAGATTTAAAAAACCAGTGGATTATATATGTAGTTTTTATAGCAGATATAATTATTATGTTCAGAAAGGGAAAAAAAATCACTTTCACTAACAAAATAGGAACTGACTTGGAGTAAACAGAAAGGTTAACTGCATTGGTTGTTAAGGAGCCCAAGTATATGTGTGCAGCATATTAACAGCTACACAGGTCAAGGATCAGGAATGCTGGTGATGGGAAGCAGCCTTGGAAAAAAATCAACTTCATCTGCTATTCAAAGAGAAACAAACAAGAATGCAAGTCATTGCTCATTGCTGTAAGAATTTAATGAGTAACAGCCAATTGCTATTCTACTCCATGAAGAGAATTGGTCCTTTTGACTCAGTGTAATATTATGTGTTCTGGATGCCTTAATAAGAAAAAAAAAAAAAGATCTCCAATGACTTTTGGAGGTAGAAACCATGTTTTTCTTTTGTATAGCTCTTTTGAGAATTTTTGCAGCTGTTATAGACTAGTATCTGATTATTCCTAGTTAAAATAAGAATTTTATTATTCTAAGAAGGACTTTGAAAGAAGAACTGACAACTAGAGAATCATTCCCTTGTGTTTTTCAAACCAGAAAAGGAATGTATTTAGTAATGGTAGTTTTTTATGAAAGACTGACAGATAGCTCTGAAAGGAGGATGCATATGCGAGTGAAGACGACCTCGGCCTCATTAATAGGATAGTGTCCTGTCAGAGTTTCCATTTCTCATCTAAGAGATAGGAGCAAAGATGCGGTTTGTTTATCTGTAATGCAGTGATAAGCTTGTAAATGGAGAAATCATGCTGACCTAAAAACATTCTGCCAGGAAATAACTGCTCCCTCACTAGCTAGAAGTAGGATGGTCATTGACTGCCAGCTTCTGGAGGGAGAAGTGGTCTTAATGGCAGTCTTATTTGGGGGACCTATGAAATGCCCTTATGCAATTGAATCAGTATTCCAAGACTGTGCTCTCAGCAGATTGAATAGGGGTGTAGAAGTAATTGTTTAAAAGCATAGCTTCTAACTGCAGGGTGAAGAGAAGACATTAGAGCCCTAGGTTGTACTCTCCACAGATGATTTGGTACAAATAAAGCCACAGTAATATATTTGGGAAGGAATAGAAAGTGCTGGAGAAGGAAATGGCAACCCACTCCAGTATTCTTGCCCGGAGAGGAGCCTGCTGGGCTGCTGTCCATGGGGTCGTACAGAGTCGGACACTACTGAAGCGACTTAGCAGCAGCAGCAGCAGCAGAAAGTAGGTCCAAAAGCAAAGGACAAAAGTGCCATTTCTTTAGACACTTAAAAATCCTGGAGCATATAAACCAAGTAAAAAGCACATATGTTTCCACTTTATATATAAGAATATTTAAATTTAGAGAAAGAGGGAATTGGCAGTATTTTACTATATTAATATTTAATAGTACTTTACCTGAGAATATGTTTTAAATCTAGCTAGCTACATTCAGAGTTTTCTTGAAAGATGTAAATAAGAGTGACTCAAGTATTTCATTCAGTGCTCTTTTTCCATCTCTGGCTCTTAAAGTATTTAAGAGGACAGTAGAATGAATGCATTTAAATGAGAGCTTTATTTAGTTTTTTTACTTAGGGAAGTTTCTATAAGGAAGATGTTTAAAAGTGCATGCTATTTATTCTCTTGGTAAAAGTGCATAAACATATATGTACTTTTAAACAAATAATCATTAAGTGAACAATGTAACTACTACCAAGGTCAGAAAGCAGAATGTGCCTCACATGCCCCTCCCTGGCCAGCTCTGTGGTCTGTTTGTCCTGAGGTAACAAAGGCACAATTAAGTTCCTAAATACTGTTCCTGAAGAGGTTTGTTTTCAGTGATTACTTTGTTTCGGAGTATTAGAAGAATATTGACAAGAGGAATTCATTTTTATTCTTTCAAGGGAAGAGAGATTAGATTGAGAACTCGGTCATGATTTTTTTAAGAATATATTAATGACTACAAAGGAAAACAAGCATTTAGAAAGTATGTTATTTCTGAGGAAGAAAAAATATTGTGTTTTTTATTATCCAATTCAGTACTAAGCCATATTACATACTGTTCTTAAAAATTACTTCTTAGTCTTGTGGTTCTTCTTTAGAACTTTTCCCTCAAACTTACCTTTTTCAGAAATCTTGTCCTTGAAAATCTATCACTAAATGTTTTATTACACTATTATATCAGTATTAATAACAGCAAATTGAACTTAGAAAGAAGTTGCTATCTCTCATTACCACCACAGCTATGGTGTCATTTTTGCTACCTGATATTTCTGTGACTTGAAATTTTAATTTTATTTAAGTAAAATCACTATGCAGATGCCACCTTCTCTTTAAGCTGTTCATGCTTATACACTGTAGACACTTACTAAATTCACTGTGCTTGAACATACTAATATTTTTTAATAGCTTTTATCCATAGCGTTGAAAGCAATCACATCGTTCTTGACAATCATGTAAAATAGGCAGCTTATTAGAGGAACAAGTGTACAACTTTTGGAAGAATTTCACTTGGAAAATAAAAACAAGATGCTGTGAAAAAGGTTTCTGTCAGAAGAGAGTTAATAGAAATAACATATATATCCATATATGTATATATTCAGTT